AGACCCATACATCGTCTGTTCTCTTGAATGAAGCTTAGGAAGCAGTCATCGAAGGGAGAGAGCGCTTAGAGTCATCTGAGGAGCCAAATTCAGGCCAGGCCCTGCTCCTGGCATCAGGGTGACGGGCATGAAACAAAGACAGGAATGAGACACAGGGCTCCTCCCTGCAGGATGCCTGCTTTCTGGAATGGTCGCCAAAATAACGGAGCAGGGAGTACAGAAGGTGATGTGATGGTTAAATCTCTGGACTCCTACATGGCAGACCGCCTTTTGAGTCCTGGACCTGGCGGCTTGAAACTCGTGCCTGGCACGTGTGTGTGAGTGCCCAGACTCTCAAGAGGAGAATGGAGGACAAGAGATGGCGGAATGGACATCCCCTCTGGGCGTGATTTCTCACTTTCTGTCTCTATCTCTGTCTGTTTCTGACCAGCACATGCACTCTATTGGCAAAAACATTAAAAAAAGGAAAAAAGGAAAAAAAAGGAGCAGGTTTGCAGGTGTTGTACATTCTTCCTTGTGCAACAGAGCAGTGTAATATTGTTTTAATTCTACAGACTGAGTGCATTATTTATATAATCGGAAAAAGTGATAATAGGCTGCTTATATTTAAGTGTGTTTTCAAACGGAGAAAAAGAGAAGAGGGGAGGCGGTATGTGGTGGGGGCAGCCAGGGTAACTCAGCACCTTTCCTGGGGCCTGGCTTCAATCCACCCACCAGGCGCTCTTAATCCTTTCTTTCTCCTCTCATCACAAGAGACATTTCTTCTCCAAGGCTCACACTTTTTAATAAACCGGGCAACATAATGTATGGTAAAGAGCATTTGGAAGTTAAGAGCACATGAGGGAAATCACGTTAGACATGTTTAGACATATTTAGATTATTTGTTAAGGACTACAAAACTGAAAGTAAACAATGTGGGGAATTTCTTTCTAATGAGCAAAAGGTAGCACAGGACCTTCACAGAAGGAACTGAAATACCCAATAAAACATAAAAAGATATTCGACCTTATTGGTAATTAAAAATTATGCAAATAAAAATAACATTAAGAACTGATAATGCAGGTCGACAGGTGGTAGGTGGCACAGGAATCCAACACATGGGAGGGCCTAGGATTTGGAGCCTAGATTGCCCAGAACATGCCAGGCATGCCCATGGGCACCCACAAGGTTTGGGAGAGGATCATGGAGTGACCCCCTCCATGGGCACCCACAATCCTGGATGACTGGAAGGTTTGGGAGAGGATCATGGAGTGACCCCCTTATTGGGGGTCCTTCTCTGTATCAATAAATAAATTATTTTAAAAACCTGACAATACACAGGGCCAGTAGGTGGCATGGTGGTTAGGGTGCTGGATCCCACATGGCTGACTGTGCAGCTGAGTCCCACACCTGGCAGCTTGAAAACCACGCCAAGCACATGTATGTGTGCCCAAAATCTCAAGAAGAGAATGGAGAATGAATTGCAGGATGGCCATCCTCCTGGAGGCTTTCTCACTCTGTCTCTCTTCTGCAAGTGCACATGCCCTATAGCAAAAAAACTAAAACAAACAAGCAACAGAACTTTCATCTTTTGATCTACATAGTTCTGTATTACCTATAGTTCTGCCCAAAAGAAGTATCATGCAAGACACATATGTAATGGGACATTTTCTGTTAGCCACATTTAAAAAGTAAGAATAGGGGGCAGCAGGTGGTGTGGTAGTTTGGGTACTGGACTCCTACATGGCCCACTGTGGTTTGAGTCCCAGACCTGGTGGCTTGCTTTCTCACTTTCTCTCTCTTGAGCACATGTGCCCTATAGCAAAACTTTAAAAATAATAATAAATAAAAGTAAATAAATACTTTTTTAAAAATAAAAATAGTTGAGGACCAGCAGTTAGCGTAATGGCTATGTCGCTGGACTCCCACGTAGTCGACCGTGGTTCATGTCCCGGAACCGGCAGCTTAAAACTCATGCCGGGCGCCTGGGCGTTCGTTCTCCAGAATGGAGAAGAAGGGATTGCGGCGTGGCCACTCCCCCTGGGGGTTGATTTCTCGCTTTCTGTCTCTCTGTCTCTCTCTGTCTGTCTGGCGAGCGCATGCGCCCTATAGCAAAAAACCTCTCAAAATAATAATAATGATAATAAAATTTTAAAAATAGTTAAAATTTTAATGATACATATTATTTAACCCAATATTTCCAAAATATTACCATTTCTGCATATAATCACTATGAACAAATTATTAATGAGATATTTCACTTTCTTTTTCATTTAAGTCCAACATTTTATCTCCATTCAAACCAGTTATATTTCAAGTAACTCAATACTCACATGTGACTAGTGACCATGGCATTGAACAACACAGATCTAATTGTTTTTTTCTCTAGAGTTTTGCTATAGGGCATGTGCATTCAGGGATGACAGAGACAGAGAGAGGTGGGAAAACACCCCCCCAGGGGGGATGGCCATGCAGCAATCCCTTCTCCTCCATTCTTCTCTTGGGATCTTGCGCACACATGCACATGCACCCAGAATGATTTTCAAGCCGCCAGACCTAGGACTCAGAAGGTGGTCAGCCATGTAGGAATCTCGCACCTTAACATCATGCCACCTGCTGGCCCTTTGACACAGATCTAAATCTTTTACAAAAAGGACGGATATCACATGTGAAATATGAAAACAGGGAATACATCAAATGGATATAAATAAAATGATCTCCCATCCAAACCATCAAACCAACAAAAATATGGTTTGGCTGTATTAAAATTTTTAATACAGCTGTTAAAAGGAATGAAGTATCCCATATACTGAAGGAATACATATTTCTGGGATGTTTGAAGAAAAAAACAACTTAGGGCACAACGTATACATAATAAGATCCCCAACTCTGTGTGTATGTGTATGTAGAAAGATCCTAGCAGGACATAAGTCAGACTGTAAACAGGGGAGAATTGATGGGGGTCAAGGCTTTCCCTTGTGCCTGCATTATTTAATTTATTGTTTGTTTTTGTTGTTTAGTTTCATCAAATGAAAAATCACAATAAATCCCTTAAACTGAGAATGAGAAAGGAGGATGAGTGGTGACTTAAGGGGAGACTCTGTAAGCTCAAGGGATAGGCAGAGGCTCAGTTCTCACCCCTGCTTTCATATGGGCTGACCCTGAGCATGTCAATCCATCTCTCTTCCATCTCTCTTCTGTCTCCATGCCCTCGTCTGAAATGAAAACATCTCCCAGAAAAGATGCCACTTGAAAGGTGAGATGAGAGCAGAGTGCAGAGATTGGTTCTGTTCCAGGTGGAGAGGAAGGAGAGGACCGCAGCCACGCTGTGAAGGACCTTCACGTGGAGAGGCCTCATGAAAACATTTCAGTGACAGCCTCAGCATTTGGTCCTAGCCAGCTGCCACCACCAAAGGAAGCCTTAGAGATTTAGAGATGACTCCAGCTCTAGCCATCTTTGACTGCAGCCAACTGAGACCCTAAGTCAATCCCCAGAAACATACAGGAGGTAGTCATAAGTGACTTCTGCTGTTCTCACCACTTCGCTTTGAGAGGTTCATCACGCAACCACAGATCACTGCAGCAGGGAAGCAGCAGGAGGCTGGAGTGTCTGCTGAACACTTCCATTGAAGTAAGTGTTGTATTCAGTTTTATCATTATTATTAATTTTATTGCTTAACTGCTTTTAATAACATGACATAGAGCTCCTAGACTTGATACAATTGTTATGCAAAATACATAGATGAATACCACCTTTGTTTAAAAATATAAAATAGGGACCAGCAGGTGGTGTGGTGGTTAAAGGCACTGGATTCCCACATGGCCAACCATGGTTCAAGTCCTGAACCTGGAGGCTTGCTCTCTCACTTTCTCTCTCTCTCTCTCTCTCTCGCTCTATCTGTCTGATCAACTGAAAAATAATAATAATAGTAATAAAAATTAAGTTAATGAAAATATATAAAATAAATAAGCAAGACATGTGAAAATAGACAAGTTTCCATTAAATAAATGAAATTTTTTTAAAAAGAAAGGTTTCCTTTCCGTATCATTTAAAGAAGGGAAATTATCATTTTAAACACTATTCAAGTTTATTAAACAAATTTTTAAAAGTCTTATAAAATGTTTAATTTTCATCAGCTTCAAGGTTTATGTTGCTTCCAAATTTTGCATGTAACTGAACTTTCAAATCTGCTAACACCCGCTGATTCGACTCTACTCTGGATTCTAAGGTGTCAATTTCTTGCAAAATTTTCTTTGCTTCTTCTAGCATTTCTTGTGTCTCTTCTTGAAAATGGCTGATGAAAACATCACTGATTTGTTAAGGCATCATTACAAAGCCGTCATCTGCAAGCATGATGTCATCACAAGCATCTTCCAAAATTTGGAATTGTTTCTTTTTTACTTCTATTTCTTCTTTTAGCTGTGATTCTACTCGTATTCCGTGCAAATTTATCTTTTGTTGATCTTTGAAAGTAACACTGACATCTGCAGGCGCCTTCTTCATAGTGGCTGTCATCTTGGGACTGCTTATTTATTATTAAAGAATTGGTCTTATTTTGTCATTATTATTTTTTAATTTGACCAAAAAGAGAGAGAGAGAGGGAAAGTGAGAAAGCAAGCCACCAGGTCCAGGGCTTAAATCACAGTCGGCCCAATGGAAGTCCAGTGCCTTGGGCCAGCAGATGGCACAGCGGTTACGTCACTGGACTCGCACATAGCCTACCACAGTTCTAGCCCCGCAGCTGGTGGCTTGAGACTCACGCCGGGCAAGATTCCGGGAGGAGAATGGAGAAAACAGTGCGGTGTGGCCACCCCGCGCAGGAGCTGCGGGCTAAGCTAGACCCGCACGCTCAGCCCCGGGCGCCTGAAAACAACCCCGCCCACGCCCCCGCCCCGGCCCGCCTGCAGGGGGCGCGATCTCCCCCCGCCACGCACCGGCGACGCGAAC